ATGCCGGTGTCCTTGGTGCTGACGAAGGGCTCGAAGAGTCGCGGCTCGATCTCGGGGTCGATGCCGGCGCCGCGGTCGGCGACTTCGATGACCGCCTTACCGTCCGCCGCGGGACCGATTGTCACCAGGACCTCGCCGCCCCCCGGCTGGGCGTCGATGGCGTTGATCATCAGGTTCAGCAGCACCTGCCGCAACTGCTGCCTGTCGGCGAGCAACTCGACGGCGCCATCGATCTGGTGCTCGATCGTCACGCCGACCCGTTCCGCCCGGGGCCGAACGATATCAACGGCTTGCAGCACTTCGGCGACGGCGTCGACGCGACCCCTCACCAGCCGCGGCGGCCGGGCGAAGTCGAGGAAGGTTTGCAGCATCTGTTCCATCCGCGCCGCCTCTTCACGGATCATCGCCACTTCCGCGGCGTTCATCGGTTCGCCTTGCTCGGCCGAGTTGTCGGCGAGCAGCTTGATGGCGGTCAACGGGTTGCGCAGTTCGTGGGCGATGCCCGAGGCGAGCTGACCAACCGCCGAGAGCTGATCGGCGCGCGCGGCCGTTTCGCGCGATCGCTGCAACTCGGTGACCATCCCTTCGGTCTTCACCTGGACCTCGCTCATAACGTCGATCAACTCCTGGAGCTCGCTGGTCGGCTGGGCGGGACTCGCCCCTTCCGTCAACGACTCGCTGAGCGACTGCACCGAACCGCCGAGCGTCTCGATCGAGCGGACAACGCTCCGAGAAACGCCCAAGCCCGCGATCAGACCCGCCGCCGACCCGCAGAGCCCCAGGAAGGCAAGCCCCGTGCCGACACGGCGGGCGAACAAGACATTCTCCGAGCTGATCGCCTCGAGCGTCCCTTGGTTGGCGTTGAGAAGGTCGCCCGCTGCGTCGACCGCCGGCCCGCGGAGCACCGCCATCCCGGCCTCAAACTCCTCACGACCCATCTCCCCGGCGTTCGACAACAGGTTCTCGATCGTCGCCATCCGCTGCTGCACCACCTCGAGCAGTTGCCGGTCGTGCGGGTGTTCTTTAATCGTCTGGAGCAAGTGGGCCGCCTCGGCAAAGGACGCCTGGGCTGCCTCCAGCGCCTCGGGCGTCCCGCGCGCGTATAGCGTCATCTCGTTGCGGGTGTCACGTAGCGCAAACACCAACTCCTCCGAACTCAAGACGGCGTCGACCCACCGGTCGAGCTCGTCAGAGAGGTGCGCGTTGAGCTGATAGATGTAGGCGCCGGCGACGAGGCCGAAGGCGAGCAGCAACACGCTGACGACCAGCGTCGGCAGGCTCATCCGCCACATCAGCGGGATTTGTCGTTTCACAACTGAACGCGGTGGCCAGCGGTTGTACAGGTAAAAGATGGGACCAAGGTTGGCGGGCGACGCCGCTCTAGCATAGCGAGAGCGGGGCCCCTCTCGGCTAGCACTCCTTGTGCCGCCCGGCCACGGTATACTGGCGGGAATGCCAACCGCAGAACGACGTCCGCCGGGAATCCCCGAGTTGCTGGCCCCCGCCGGCAACTTCGAGTGTGTCCGCGCCGCGGTCGAGAACGGCGCCGACGCGGTCTATTTCGGCCTCCAGAACGGCTTCAACGCCCGGGCCCGGGCCGACAACCACGCTCTAAACGACCTCGGCGAGACCATGGCCTTCCTCCGCCGCCGCGGGGTAAAGGGCTACGTCACGCTCAACACGCTGATCTTCAGCGACGAGTTGCCGGCCATCGAAGGGGCCGTTATCGCCATCGCCGAGGCCGGGGTCGACGCCGTTCTCGTGCAGGACTTGGGCCTCGTGCGGCTCGTACGCGCCGTCTGCCCGGACCTGCCGGTCCATGCCTCCACCCAGATGACGCTGACCAGCGCCGAGACCGTCCGCGCGGCCGAGCGACTCGGCGTCGAGCGCGTCGTCTTGGCACGTGAGCTGTCGCTCGCCGAAGTTCGCAAGATCCGCGATCGGACGTCGGTCGAGATCGAGACCTTCGTTCACGGCGCGCTGTGCGTCGCCTACTCGGGCCAGTGCCTCACGAGCGAGTCCCTCGGCGGTCGCAGCGCCAACCGCGGGCAGTGCGCCCAGGCCTGCCGGCTGCCGTACGAGCTCGTTTGCGATGGCAAGGATGTCGAACTCGGCGCGCAGAAGTATCTGCTTAGTCCCCAAGACTTGGCGGCGTTCGAACTCGTTCCCGAGTTGATCGACGCGGGCGTCGGCTGTTTGAAGATCGAGGGACGCCTGAAGACGCCCGAGTACGTCGCCAACATCACCCGTCACTATCGCCGCGCAATTGACGCAGCCGCCGCGGGTCGCGCCGTCTCGTTTTCGCAACGCGACGTGACCGAGATGGAGCTTTCCTTCTCCCGGGGCTTCTCGCCCGGCTGGCTGCACGGCTGCGATCACAAGCAACTCGTCCCCGCCACGAGCTCGGCGAAGCGCGGCGTGCGCATCGGCGAGGTGATCGACATGCGGCGCGATCGGGTCATGGTGCGGCTCTCGAACCCGCTGGCGGCGGGCGACGGCGTCGTCTTCGACGGCGACCGCCTCACCGGCGCCGAGCAGGGGGGCCGCGTCTACACGATTCACCTCGACGGCGAATGGATCACGGGAGAAGCTTCGCCGGGCGAAGTCGAGCTGGCGTTCGGCCACGGCGCGATCGACCTCGATTCGCTCTACCCAGGACAAACGCTCTGGAAAACCGACGACCCCAAGCTCAACGCCGCGCTGCGCAAGACATACACCGGCGCCGATCCCCTCCGTCGCCAGCCGATCGATGTGGAAGTGGAAGCCAAGGCGGGCGAACCCCTCCTTGTGACGGCAACGGCATTGCGAGGTACCCAAGTCCGGGTGGCGTCGGCACAGCCTTTGGAAGTAGCCCAGCGTCACCCAGCGAGCGAAGCGATGCTCGCCGAGCAACTCGGGCGTCTCGGCGGATCGGACTACGAACTGCGTCAGCTCACGGCGTCGATCGAAGGCGGTCCGATGGTCCCGCTGAGCGTTCTCGGTCAACTGCGGCACGAATTGATCGCAAGACTCGACGAGGCCCTCTCCGCGCCGCCGGCGCGGCGGATCGATCTTCATGCGGCCCGTGCGCTGATGCCAGAGCGCGTCGAATCGCAAGCCGCCGGTGAACCTCAACTGCGGGTGTTGGTGCGTTCGTTGCGGCAACTCGGCGCCGTGCTCGCAGCCAGCGAAACGCGTCTGGCCGCCGACTTCGCCGACATCCGCGAATACGGCGAAGCGGTCCGAGTCGCCCGCGACGCCGGCGCCGAACTCTTGCTGGCAACGCCGCGCATCCAGAAGCCCGGCGAAGCGGGCGTCTTCCTGGCGATGCGTAAGCAACAGCCCGATGGCTTTCTGGTGCGTAATCTAGCCGGCGTTGATTTCTGCCGCGAGCACGGCTTGCGGTTCGTTTGCGACTTCTCACTCAACGCCGCCAACCCGATCACCGCGGCCTACTTGAAAGAACTCGGCGCCGAATGCGTCACCGCTTCGTACGACCTCAACCGCGAACAACTCCTCGACCTCGCCGCGCAAACGCCGCCCGAGTGGCTCGAGGTGGTCGTCCATCAGCATATGCCGATGTTCCACATGGAGCATTGCGTCTTCTGCTCGCTGCTGTCGCCGGGGACGAACAAGACCAACTGCGGCAGGCCCTGCGATCGGCACGACGTGAAGCTCCGCGACCGCACCGGCGCGCTGCACCGCCTCACCGCCGACGTCGGCTGTCGCAACACGCTCTTCAACGCTGTGCCACAGTCGGCGGCCGAAGCCATTCCTTCGCTGTTGGCGACCGGCATCCGCTCGTTCCGCGTCGAGTTCCTCGAAGACGAGGACGCCATCGCCGACACGCTGCGTGTGTACCGCGATTTGCTCGCCGGACGTATCTCTGGCAAAGACGTCTGGCGCCGCTTGAAGGCCGCCAATCGTGTCGGCGTCACGCGCGGCACGCTCGAAGAGAAAAGAAACCCTCTGGCGATCTTGTAATCGTCGCAGCCTCTTCTTCCAGCCACTTGTAGCGTTTTGCAAACGCCGCGAGCGATCGGTTTGTCATGACGGCGTCAGCACGTTATAACGCGGCGCAGTGGGTCGTCGCCGAAGGCGACGACCCTTCGAGGACCTTCTTGTCTTAATTCCACACTTTCGTCGTCGCCATGGCGGGCCGCGCTACGAATGACAAACCGTCGCGTGGCGTCGCTAAGGCGACGCTGCTGACGGTCGCCGTCGCCGCGATGTTCGGCGTTTTCGGCGGCCTGGGCTTCTTCACGTTCGGTTACGGCGAGGGGTACGCCTATCTCGGCAACGACCCCGCCAGCTGCGCCAACTGCCACGTGATGCAAGAGTTCTACGACTCGTGGCTTAAATCGAGTCACCACAACGTCGCCGTCTGCAACGATTGCCACACGCCGCACGACAGCATCGTCGCCAAGTACCTCACCAAGGCCGACAACGGCTTCTTCCACTCGCTGGCGTTCACGACCGGCGACTTCAAGGACCCGATCCAGATCAAAGCCCGAAACAGCCGCGTCGTGCAGCACGCCTGCCTCGACTGCCATAAGAATCTCGTCAACCACCTGCTCCCAACCGAAGACGGGGGCGACATGATCTCTTGCGTCCATTGCCACGCCAGCGTGGGCCACTCACAAACCGTGGCGCCGCGCCGTTACGAAGGGTACTGAATCCATGCCGTCGACCATTCGCACCTATTCTCGAAGCGGCCGCAAGGGCGGCGTCGGCCTGTTGCTGCTCGCGTTCCTCGTCGCCGCGATCGGCACGGCCCTCGTGGCGTGGGTGCTGGTGACGATGTTCGGCCACAAGCAAGAGGCGCGAACGCCTTACGTGCGTGTGGTTGAACTCAACGAAGTGTCGGTCGATCCCGAGCCCTGGGGCCTCAACTGGCCGCACCAGTTCGACGGCTGGAAGTCGACCGCCGGCGACAAGTTCTATGGCGGCTCCAGCGCGATGCCCGAGTCGAAACTCGATAAGCAGCCTTGGCTCAAACGCCTCTACGCCGGTTACGCGTTCAGCATCGACTACCGCGAAGCCCGCGGCCACGCCTACATGCTTTACGACCAGGGCGTCACCGAGCGCGTCACCAAGAAGCCCCAGGCCGGCGCCTGCCTGCACTGCCACGGCTCGACCACGGTGCTGTACCGCCAGGTCGGCCTCGAAGCGATGGGCGAGGACGCCGACGACGAGGCCCTCGCCGCCCACTTCAACATGGAAGCCGTGCAGCGCGGCTTCGAGGAAGTCAGCACGAAGACGTACGGCGAAGTCCTCGACATGCTCAAGGCCACGCCCGACGGCACGCCCGAAGAGAACGAGCCCGTCTTCCCGCCGGCGCCCGCCGGCGGCTTTACCGGCGAGATCGCCGGACAACCCCTTCCCGAAGGTCACGCCAACACCGGCGGCGGCGAGGCCCACCNNCCTGCATCGATTGCCACGACCCCGCCACGATGGCGATCCGCGTCACCCGTCCGGGATTCGTCAACGGCATCGCCGCCCTCGCCGAAGGAGACGCCCCCGTCCCACACATCCCGAGCATCGAGAAGTGGCGCCGCGGTGGCAAAGCGACTCCTTACGACCCTAACAAGGACGCGTCACGGCAAGAGTTGCGTTCGTTCGTCTGTGGCCAGTGCCACGTCGAATACTACTGCGCATCGAAGATGACGCTCACATTCCCGTGGAAGAACGGCCTCAAGATGGAGGACGAGGAGCAGACTTGGGAAGAGACGACCTTCCCCGATGGCAGCCCCTTCATGGACTATGCCCACGGTGAGACCGGCGCTCCCACCTTCAAGGTCCAGCACCCCGAGTTCGAGCTGTGGAGCCAGGGCGTCCACGCCCGCAACGGCGTCAGCTGCGCCGACTGCCACATGCCTTACCAGCGAGTCGGCGCCGCGAAGGTCTCGAATCACCACGTCCGTTCACCGCTCGAGAACCTCAACTCGGCATGCCAGACGTGCCACCGCCAGAGCGAGGCAGAACTAGCCCAGCGGATCGAGACGATTCAAACCACCAATCAAGCGCTGCTCGAACGCGCCGCCGGCGCGATGACCGCTATGCTCGACGCCATCCTCGAAGCCAAAGCCTCCGGCGCCGAAGAGGAAGCCCTCGAAGAGGTCCTCAAGCTCCAACGCAAGGCCACTTGGCGGCTCGACTACGTCAGCAGCGAAAACTCGCGCGGCTTCCACGCCCCGCAAGAGGCGGCGAGGATCCTCGCCGAGTCGATCGACTACAGCCGTCAGGCCGAAGCCCTGGCGCTGCGGCTACGAGCCCCCGAGGCGCCGGACATCGAAGGCGTTCCGATCGAGCCGATCCAAGGCGTGACGCCCACCGAGCCAATCGTCAAGGAACCGGCCGGCAAACCCGAGACCGACGCCGTGTCGTTAAACGCTCCGCCTACAACCGATGGCTAGAGCGTGCTTCACTTAGCCATAGCGTTTCTAGCCTCGCTCTGATCC